TATATATATATAAGCTATTTATATAAACTAATTAGTGAAAAAGTGACCGACACTCAAACCCTTGACCTTTGGGTTACAAGTCCGACTCTCTAACCATTAGGCCATGACTGCCCCTAAAATGAAAATCCTGTCATCATTTGCTTACCCTCAAGTGGTTCCAAACCTGTATGAATTTTGTATGTACAGAATCTTCTGTTGAACACACAAAAAAAAAAGATAATTGGTAACCAAACAGTTGCCAGTAGCCATTGACTATCATAGTATTTTTTTCCATACTTTTAAAGTCAATGGCTACCAGCATCTGCTTGGTTACCAACATTCATTCAATACATACAGGCTTGGAACAACATGAGGGTGACTAAATGATTATTAAATTTCCATTTTTGGGTGAAAGATCCCTTTATGGCAAATATAACATTTGTGGCTTTCTTTACGGTGCTACACCTGGTTACGACAGTGTTTGATGAAAATGATGCTAATTTGTTTCTATTTTCTTTCTGGATTGTAGGATTCTCACAAGTTTGGAGCTGATATCAAGAAGGCCTTGATGGATCTCCTGGAGTTGATGTCACCAGAGAAACCAGACCCGTCCAAAGCTGAGCAGAACCACTCGAAGAACAGCAAAAAAGACCTGTAGAGGTAGAACAGATCGCCCATGACGGTCAGAAGAAGACATGAGGTTGCATATAACTAGGAAATAGCGTGTTTGCGTGTGTGTGTGTGTTCGTTTGAATGCACGTTTGTTATTACATGCAAATGTGCATTCATACATTCCATGCTTGTTGTACAAATCGATGCCATGAAGCCATGAACAACATAATGATGTAAAAATGGTGGAAGCTGCTTCGTCTAAAAACGTATTAGTTAAATAAAATATATAAAAGAGGATTAAAAGCGAGAGATAGGGGAAAGCCTTGTGTGTTTTCCAGTAGGACCAGTCCATTTAGATTTTGTTTGGTCCTCATTTTTAAATAATGAAGAATCGAGTTAGTGTAATGGTTGTAGGTTCATTACACCTAAGCTTGACCGAGGATCTCAGTAATGCATCACCTCTGTACCTTCTGATGAAGGCACTTCACTGCTCTTACAGTACAATAAATCACATCCAAATAGAAACTCCACATCTGAACTGGTCAGTTTAAGGTGTAAGAATAACTTGGACCTTGGACTAAAATCCAGTGTCGATTTACTTGAATCCCAGAGCAGAAGTATATATAAGATTTCAGTGACTAATGACTCAGAATATTACATGTGACTGCAGTTTTAATGTGACTATCCAGATACATTGATGTGTTGATCTCACTATTAAGTCTATTAATTTTAAGTTTTTTTTATGTAAAAGTACTTTTTTTTCCTTTTTACACAAGGAAGAGTTAAGATAAAATAATAACTTAATAACAATTTACACTTAATTTAACAGATTTGAGAATGTCTAATAGGTCTAAAGAAAGCGATGCCCGAGAAGAAACAAATTTTTCGCCACAACACGTTTCTGAAAATATCTCAGGTGTTTCAAATTTAACTTCAAAGAAAAATCAAGGCCAGTTAATTGCAAATAGTTTCTGTTTACTTTACAAAGAGATGTCTCCTTAACAAAGCTAAGTATGTAATACAAAATCTGATATGATTTTAATTTTAAATGGTTTACTTGGAATTAAATCATGTGGTTAACCTTCTAATGAACTAATTAGATTGGCAGAATGCTTTCAAAGCTAAATGTGGTTATGATTAATATGTTTTCAATAATAATACTAAACCCTTTAAAAATATTCCACGTAAATTCTATTTTCAAAAAAAGTAGAAAAGTGTTAAGTGTGATTTAAAGGAATATTTCACCCAAAAATTAAGATTTGCTGAAAATTGACATGCCATTCAATATGTAGATGAGTTTGTTTCTTCATCAGATTTGGAGAAATTTAGCATTCCATCACTTGCTCACTAATGGATCCTCTGCAGTGAATGGGTGCCGTCAGAATGAGAGTCCAAACAGCTGATAAAAACATCATAATAATCCTGAAGTAATCAACAAGACTGCAAAAACTGTTTGTAATGAACAAATTGATCATTAAGATGTCTTTAACTTCAAACTGTTGCTTCCGGCTAAAATATGAGTGCATAATCCATAATATTTGCTTTCTCCAGTGAAAATGTTTGAATCAGGAGAGAAATATGCACAGATGAAGCACTGTTTACAAGAAAAAAAACTGTTCTAAATAAATATGTTGTTATGGATTATGGACTCGTATTTTGGCCAGAAGTGACAGTTTAAAGTTAAAATGCCTTAATGGTGGATTTGTTTCTTACAAACACACATCTTTTAGCTTCACAAGACATTAACTGATGGACTGGAGTGGTGTGGATTATTGTGATGTTTATATCAGCTGTTTGGACTCTCATTCTGACGGCACCCATTCACTGCAGAGGATCCATTGATGAGCAAGTGATGTACATTTCTCCAAATCTGATGAAGAAACAAACTCATCTACATCTTGGTTGGCATTTCAGTATATTTTCATTTTGGGTAAACTATTCATTTAAATTACTGACAGAATAATTAAAAGAAAACATGAGGTATTATAATATGAATAAATAGACAGATTAGAGTTGAGAGGCAGGATATATTCCTGTAACTATACTACTGTAACCACTATATGATTGAACAATTGCTGCATTAGACATAACCTAACAAAAACTATTACATTTTGCGTAGGACATGAAGGTGGTGACTGATTTCACAGGTGAATTAATGAGATGCTCATCAACATCAAAAATGTACAATCACTGTACAGTCTGCATTAATGCTGTATTTCACGAGGATGTGTTGTTTCTGTAGGCCCTTTGCTTCACTTGGCTGGACTGAGAGCAAGGGCTTCTAAACTTCCTTGTAGTTTTTCCGTTTTGTCTTTTAAATCCGTTGGCAGCTCTACTCGTTATTGTCTCTGTACGCCCTCATATTTGGCACTTTAAACAATATAAAGTTGCCTTTCAAGTGCACAAGATCTCATTTGCACAGCTAGATAAGGTCATTGTGGAAATATTATATATATATATATATATATATTTTATATATCAGGGGCGTTGATAAAATTATGGAGTAGAGAAAAATCACATATAATCACAGAAAAATCAATGATACTAAAATAACACCGCAATGAGATTGGTGTCATTTCATAGATGGAAACATGGAATGCTATGAATCATTATTTGTAATTTAGGTGCTAGTAATTCAAAAATGACCTAAAAACTCACATTTGTAACAAAATATGGCCTGAAATAAGCCTATTTGCCAGATGTCTGTGACTGTGTAACATACAGTTAAATTGAGTTTTTATTGCACTGCTCTGATTGGCTGTCAGGAGTAGAGGTGTATAATAGTGTCTCATCTGGTACTGGTACATACGCCGCTCTGGTGCAGTTTCATAGTGAGATCCCAGTCGAAACAGCCCTGCCGTGAGTCATAGCGAGTCCCCAGGTGCTGCCGAACACGGGCATCCCAGACCTTGCGTACACTTGCTGGAACTGACGGCGGCCGTTCCCACAGTTTAAAGATCCGGACCAACTCATCTCTCTCCTTAAACTATGATAAAACAGCAGATGAGTCGATATTACTGAGCTGAATTTGGTTATGACATGCAGCATAAATGCAAATATAACAGATGAATGTATGCTGGACCTTCAGAAGGCTTGTATCAAGGCAAGGATGGGTGTGCGAGTCCGAGAACAGAGTGTTTGTGATAGACAGAGAGAGTTGAGCTGCGGCGTGTTTTAACGTTTCTTCTGTCTCTTTGCGAATCTCAGAGTTTCCAAACACCTCCAGAAACACTTCTGTCTTCTCTGGAAAATACAACACAAAGCGTTGTACAACAGTACAAGCATGAATGCAGTGACATTTATAATGTACAAGAAAAAATCATAAAATAATTTCTCTGGAGATTATTTTTTTTTTTTTGTATTCCTTTATTTTCTACATCTTTCTAGACCTTTGAAATGTCAATTGTATATAAAATAATAATTGATTATATTTATAATTAATATATTTTATTTATAATTAATAATTTTAAAAATATTTTTCATTATTTAGATATTAAGGTACATACTGTGTAAACTCATGTTCTCAGGGGTCAGAAGTGATAAATAAAGTAGTACTAGCTGTCTGGCAACCACCTCCATGCTGTTCTCAATCACCCAAACCTGCAACACATCTCATCATTAACACATTAACATGCATAAAACAGCTGATTTTGTAATATGTGATTAATCTCAATCCATATGCTATATGTAAAAGAATCACTCACATGTAGTGTGTCTGAGTCTGTCAGTCCAGTGATGGTCTTCAGGATGTATCTAGGATCTGCACTGCCCACCAGCAAAATATTCAGCTCTCCATGCGGCCTCACTCTGTGTGTATCTGTAAGTGTTACATAATAATGAGAGTTCAAATATTAAACAAATGTATGTGAACTTTCATAGATATTTACTGTGTTTAGTTAGATACTGTGTGGTGGTTTAGTCTGATTTTGTGGTTCTTCTTTTCTTTCTGTGGTTTATTAGTGTTTAATCTAAAGATGGTATTTAGTCTGGTTTTACCTGAGCTCAGGAGGTCTCGTGCTGGTCCGAATCCCCACCAGGTCACACATCCCGCGCCCTCAACAGTCCGAACGGTGCTCATTCTTCATTAATAGTTAGAAATGACAAATTAGGATGGTGCCTGAGTGCGACTATCAAATAATATCGCACTCCTCCTATCCCGTTTCAGCGGACTGTTGTGGAGTTTGATTAGCTAGCAGCTGGCTTAACTTATATTTCGTAGCATTATTTAGGTAGCGACGCAAGTAAAAACATTCTTACATTTACAAAGTATGAAGTATGTATGCGCACAAGTATCTGTAGCCGTATATATAACAGATATGTAGCAAAGTGAAAATAATCTTCTGTGAAACTCACCTCTCGCTTTTCGTGCCGCGTACACAAGCTAAAGTTTGGAAAGCGGTTGCTTAGCAACAGGGAGCGTGCGATAGATGTGTAGAGTATACGTATCTATGCGCGCGACGTCTAGATACAGCGTTTTAGATTTTACATTTTGTTACAGACAAACGTGCCAGAGTAATTTAAAATGTATAGTTATTACCAAAAAGATTATTATTTTATGTTGCATAACCTGCATAACTAGTTTCTAAGGTGACTGTTGCGAAGGATTCAGTAAAAACTAAGGTCAGCTCCAATCTAAAGCAAAGATTTTAATGCATATTTATTTATATTATGCAGTTTAATGCATAGTTAACTAAATCTAAAAATGTATTATCCTATTTATTTGTTTTGTGTGTCAATGGGATGATAATAATGTAAGTATTTTTACATTAACAACCTAAACAATTATAATTATGAATATATCCAACATGAATTACATTGAATATTCAATCTAGCCTAATGATAATTTTACAGAATACTTAGGTGACTGAAAGTGGAACAGCATTTAAGGAAATAAATCTCACTTGTTCAGTTGCACCTGAAACTAGTTCGAGAAATCTCACCTGACCAGTTAACGAAGCAGGGGAAAACCTACGTCGCTGCAACAAGGAAGGTAAGTAAATTTACTTATTTAGGCAGTTTACATTATACATGTTTAATATACAAGTTTGATCGTATGTAAGTTGACTTGTAACCACACTATGAATGTGTCTCAAATATTAGAGGCACATTCATAGTGTGGTTATAATTCATAAGTTGCTCGTCTCAGCTGAAGTCAGAGTTTACGTCTCTTTGAGTGGACAGGCATCTTAAACTAAAATGTTTAAAATACCTTGGTTATTTGTTATTTATTTATTTTTAAAGTTATAGATAACACTGGATAATAGTTTTTTAGTTGTATGTATATGTAATATTTTATTTATTTATTTAAATTATTGTATTTAACGTAGCAAAATATCTTTATTATTATTATTATTATTATTTACAAAGGCCATATATTACCAGTAAAGGAGCAAGCGCCTTTCATTTTTGTATTTATCATTTCTAAACCAGAGTTTAAACAGCCTGCTGTCTATTTTGCCAATAAGTGGGCAGATGCCTAATTTAGTTACTTTTATTTTAATATAATGACAAGTTCATAATAATGTTTGCTTAATAAAAAGGTCAAAAGTTTTGACTTTAGATGTTTTCGATAAAAAGACAACGACATTTGTAATAGATTCATTTATTGATTGATTTTCCAGGCTAATGTGTAATTTACAGGAATTTATGATTGATCATTTGTCATACCTTCACATAACAGCACCATATTTACGTCTATTTTATCCATGCTGAGCAGTATAGTTATATTTACAGTATATGCATTTAGAGGTTTGAATTCAGTTGATTTACTGCTCATCGACTTAAGGTTTTTTATATGGTGTGTTAAACATCAAAAAAGATGTGAGGACATATTCATGGACACATTCATGTTGTCATAGTTTGTTTTCTGTTACAGTGGTTTTTCCATCAGTGTCTCAGACGTGCAGAAATATTGAAAATGGCTGAAGCTAAAGAAGTGTCAAAAACTAGTCAAGGCAAGTTAAAAGAAAAATTATGTGTAATTCGCTTCGGCTGAGTCTCACTGTACATAAAACACTATTACAGAAATGGCACATCTAGCCAGGTATTTTTTTTTTTTGTTGTTATTATTTTTATTATACATTTTTATTATTTTTTTCTCTCTTTTCTTCAGAGTTGTCTGTTGTTTGCCAGTCTGACATTGTATTTTCCCATCCTGGAGATGATGTTGTTCTGTCGTGTCATCTTAAGCCGGCTATCAGTGCTGCTTCAATGGAAATTCAGTGGTGGCATAAGGAGGATCCAGTTTTCCATTATAAGAATGGACAGGTGACAATGAACATAGACTATGAGGGTCGAGTGAGTCTCCCATTGCAAGATCTACAAAATGGAAATGTGTCTTTGACTCTCCGAGACGTCAGGAGTTCACAGAAGGGCCTCTATATTTGTGAGGTCACCCATGAAAGTCAATCAATACAAGATACTGTTTTTCTCCATATCAGCTGTAAGTATTCAACTAAACAAGTTTCAAAGATAATCCATATTAGTCAAAACATCTTCAGTTTGAAAGCTGATTTCCTCCGCTGGTAGAGCTCTGTGTAAATGGTCACAAAATGGTTTGATTCTCTAGGAGCACAAATACTGATAAAATGCACAGTCAAGTCAGTTTTATTTATAGTTTTCCACAATTGACATTTCTTCAAAGCATCTTTACAGAAAAATATTGACGTAATTATATCTTTATTAGAAAACTAGATTAGGAAGCAAGCAAGAAAAGGAGAAATGCCCGTCAAATTCATGCCAAATGTATATCAAAGTCTGCCTTTTGACACCAAGTTCCAACCTCAGCTAGTAAATCAGAAATGAAAATGGTAATAAACACTCTACAGTGTTAAAATTATTATGAATGTTACTACTTTTCATGTTTTTGATAATAAATGTAGTTCTCTCTCCAGCTGTAGACTTTAGTCTTGTGGTTTCTTCTGGCCCTGTGTGTGCTGCCCCTGGGGAAGACGTCATTTTACCCATTCATCTCTTACCTGAAACCAGTGCTGTGTCCATGGAAATCAGATGGTTCAGAGGGACAGAGCTCATTTATCAGTATATGAACAGACAGGAGATGACAAATAATGACTTTGAGAACCGAGTGAGTCTGTCCATCCAGGAGCTGAGGAGAGGAAATCTTGCTCTGATTTTGAGAAATGTTCAGCCATCAGATTCAGGAGACTATACATGCGAAGTCTTTCACGATGGATGTCAAAAGAGAGGAGTAGTTCACTTGCAAGTGAGAGGTAAGATATTTTTCAAGCTGCAGATTCTCTTCTCTAGTTCATACATGGAAAAACACTTGTATGTTGTATATGCATATTTAGCTTGGTGTCCTGACTAAAACAGGTTTATATTGCTTAAGTACTTTTTATGTTTTAGTTAACATGTATGAAAGTATGTATCATTTTATTTTGCATAATTATTTTTTGTCCTTCAAATACATCTGACAAATTGAAGACTGATGAAGGACTCACCCTGATACTGTATTTGGTTCATTTTAGAGATTGAGAGAGTGAAACATCTCTGCAGTGTCATAAAGCAAACACATGAAGACATTATGCAACAAAGAGTAAAACTAAATGAAACCATAAAGTTGCTTGAAGAAACACTCAAACATGTTGGTAAGTCTGAGAGACGGTGAGAAACAAAAATGATCTTTAAATTATAAAAAAGAAAATACAGAGATTTTACATGAAAACTATTGCATGACTGTCACAAACTGCCTGTTTTGGTTCGTTTTCATTTGTTTCTATCTATGGCCTTTCCTTTGTTCTATTTTCCAACCATAGTTTGTTACTATGGTTTCTGATTAACGAGTCATCACCTGTTCATCATTTGAGTTCTATCACCCTGTGTATTTAAGTTCCTCCTTTCATTCAGTTGTTGTCTGGTATTGTTCATGTGTAGATGTGCTGTTACATTGCCGTCGCATTTGGATTACCTGAGTTTGTTTTATTAAAGAACCTTTTGTTTGTGGAAACCTGTTTGAACCATTTTCATCATCTTCCTCTGAACCTGATTGTGACAATGACCAAGTTCTTCACTGGAATTTATAAATTTTTGATTGTGACATATTACGACGATTTTGATTAATTTTGTTTACATGTTTTCAATTTTAGATCAGCCATCTAGCCGTATAAATAGTATGGAAGGGATTACCCCGCTCAGTAAGACACCACTTTAAATGTTGTTAAATGCTTGTGTGTGTGTGTAATTGATAAGGGCTGTGCGCCATTGAGAATACCTTTTAAATTTCAAATTCAGTTTCTCAATTTGAGTTAAAGGGGTCATATGATGTTGCTAAAAAGAACATTATTTTGTGTATTTGGTGTAATGAAATGTGTTTATGCGGTTTAAGGTTAAAAAAACACATTATTTTCCACACACTGTACATTATTGTTTCTCCTCTATGCCCCGCCTTTCTGAAACGCGTCAATTTTTACAAAGCTCATTGTTCTGAAAAGCAAGGTGTGCTGTGATTGGACAGCTATCCAGTGCGTTGTGATTGGCCGAATACCTCAACAGAGCGACAGACCAAACATGGATCCAGACGAAGCGGATATCGTCCTCTTTTGGAAGACCAAACAAATTAGTTTAGCTTTCACAACGAAGCACACAGCGCCTTCACGACATGGCCGCGGTGGCAACAATACTACAGCGAGAATAAAAGTTACGCCTTCTTTCTTAGCTTGAACATTTGGGCGGTGTTATGCAAATCTTCCCACATCATGACCTAGACATGTGGGGGC